CCTTGAAGAGGAAGGGGCAGAATTTGCAAGAAGCCTGACCACAGTGGGGAGCTGAAGGCCCAAAGGCCCCAGCCTCAGCCAAGCAGGCCGCCATCTTCCCGATGTACAAGCAGCGGCTTGTACTGACTGACTCCACTGCGTGCCGGGGCTGTCCTGGGCATGTTCCATGTAACTCTCCCCACAACCCTGTGACGAGACTTAAGTTTGGTTTCTTCATTCTCCGGATGAAGTGGGACTCAAGAGGAAAGGGCCCTGACAAGTGTATCTGGCCAGGGGTTCTCTGCCCTCACACTGCAATCTCCCCAAAGGTTTTTAATATACCAACTTCCAGGCCCACACCCCCAGCTCTTCAGATGATTCTAGCGCACAAACATAGTCACTTAATCTTTGTGGGTGGGAAAGCCGAGGACCCGATTGGAGATTGAACTTCCCTAAGGACAACCCATATTAGTTTCCTGGGGCTGCCAGACAAATGACCACAAGATGGGGGGCTGAAAACAACAGAGACTCATTGTCTCCAAGTTCTGAGGCCAGAAGTCCAAGTGCTGCAGAGCTGTGCTCCCTGCAGGCTCTGGGGGAGGAGCCTCCTTTGCCTCTTTTACTTCTGGTGGTTGCTGGTGATCCTTGGCATTTCCTTGCTACCGGACACACCTCTCCAATCTCTCCTCCATCTTTACATGGTGCAGTCTGCAGGGGTGTGTTCGTGCCCACATTTCCCTCCTCTTAAGAGGACATTAGCTACGTTGAATTTAGAGCCCAACTAAACCCAACGTGACCTCATCTTACCTGTTGGTCCCTATTTCCAGTGAGGTCAGTCACAAGTCCAGGTGGACGTTAACTTGGGGAAATACTTTTCAACGCACTGTACACCCAACATGATTGGTAGAACCAGGACTCCAGCCCCATCTCCCAGACCCAGCCTGGGCCTGCCCTACCATACTGGACAGCTCACGCCTCCTTAGGCCCACCACCCCTTCCTGGCTTCCAGCCAGCCACCTCCCCACCTTCCCCAGCTCCCCAGCTCTGACGGCTATACCTTTCATGGTGGAAAGACATTGTCTTCCAGCTGTAGAATGGACAGAGACCACGTCTAAGACTTCTCTATGGAGCCCAGTCCAGGACCTGGGTACTCTCCACAAAGACAATAATTCAGCCCCACTGACAGAAGTAACCACAAACAGATGGTCATGTCCCTGTGAGTGATGGTGTTATTCTTGGGGGTCAGTCTGGCACAGATTTGGGGAAGAGCATAGGAAGTAGACTAATAGATCAGGCTCTATCAGGTTCTGGCTGTGTGACATTGGATAGGTTATTTGACCTTTCTATGCTTCTGAATACTATCCATTTCAAAGGGTGGTGGGAATTAAATGAGAAAATCCATGTAAGGTCCTTGGCCTACCATGTAATAGATGCTCAATAAATAAATAAATAAATATATATATATATATATATATATATATTTTTTTTTTTTAAAGTAGAAGCCTGGTCCAGATCACCAGGAAAGAGGACAGCAAAATATGCCAAAGTAATAATATACAGAGGGTAAAGATTCACTAACAATATATGGCACTTCCCTGATGATACCACATGACAATCAAGCAGCCTCAAAGCCAGCTTCCACATTTACACAGAGTTCTGTGTCCTAGACTTAAAGGCCAAGGGCAAATGACTGATGAGCGTAAACCCACAGGGCCACTGTTGGCATTTGGGGCAGAACAGTTCTTTGTTATTCAAGATGCCCAGCACCCCTGGCCCCTAGCCCCTGCCCACTAAATGCCACTTTCACCCCCTGGTATAGTATCACCCAAAAAATGATCCTCCCCTCCATGCATTTCCAAGTGGCCTCAGAATGGGGGCTGGCTCCACACTCTTGTTCCTCAGTGGGACCCAGCCTGCTCCCAAGAGGCAGTACCAAGGACATGGAATAGCTCTACCCCTTCCAAGGACAGCAGTACAGAGCATGGGCAGCCAGACAGCCAGGACACCTCACCAGCGCCAGCCTTAGAGGCCAGCATGCTGTCCACCCCTGGCCCCTGCAAGCCCCCCCCCCGGCTGGCTGTGCACCCTCCCTTCCCTTAACTGTAAGGGCTCACTCCACAGGCCTCTTGCTCCTTCCCTTCCCCAGCGGGGCCCATCATCTGATTCTCATCAAACATGCAGAACTGATGTTGCTCAAGTCCCCCCCAGAGGGGATTAACATAATACCCCTGATTTCTCCTTCCCCTCTCAGCTGCTGTGCATCCCCCTGGCTGCAGCCTGCCTTTGTTTCAGGAGGAGCAAAACACTGTGTCTGAAAACGTTACTGCAATTAAATATGCACAAGAAGGGGGGAAGGGAGGGGGAAATGAGGACAATGAAGGATGTGAAACATCAGATGCGGCAGCTGCTTGTTGCTATAGAAACCCCAGCTCCCCACCACCATCACCGCAGCCTCACCCCCACCCCAGCCCCTACGCCCCGTTTAAAATCCCAGTCGGGCCAAAGGCCCCATTTGTCCTGGGTTGCTGGGAGGAGCAAGATCTCACGGTCCTCGCTGACTCGGGCTGGGGCACCTGTGGTCTGCTAGCACTGATTTTTGTCTTTCCTGTTTTTCCTCACCCCGCCACCACCACACCCACCACCACCCCAGCCCTACCCTGGCACTTGTGATTGGCAGCAACACCCTCCAGTAGATCTGCATCCTGGTCCCAATTACATAATAAATTACTGGAGAGCTTCCACGTTTGACTTTGGGATGTCACAACATGGAGACAAAATGGCACACACAGAGTCCGGCGGGGGGAGCCAGGCTCGCTGTGTCCTCTGTTTCTCTCCAACTGCCGCAGCAGGGCTCAGCTCCCTCCCTCTGCCGTCTTGACTGAGTGGGGGTCTGCATAGCTGTGGTCTGTGTGCTAGAGGGGGCAGGGCAGGGGTCCCCCAAACTCCACGATCCAGAGGACTGGAGACCTGCCAGATAGTGGAGGAGGACCCTCGGCAGATAGAGCTGAGCAGGGCCCTGTGGGTTTGAGGCCCAGACTTGGGTCCACAGAACCACTGTCTGAGGGGAAGAGAGGGAGAGAGGTAGGGCAGAGCTTCAGAGACAAGACTGGTCTTTAGTTGAGTGCAAGAAAGGCACAGGAACTCGGCAGCCCCCGCTCCCCCTGATGATCCACAGTCCTGCTCAGTTCTGCAGCCACAGTGGAGTCTGATTGTCAGATCCCCATACTTGGCAGAGTATCTGGCTCCTGGTGGGTCTAGCGCTATATAGAGATGTGTAGGAGAGAAGGAGGGAGAAGAGAGTAAAGAAAGAAGGGGAAGGGGGAGGGGGACAGGAGACTTCTAGATAAACCAGAGTTTATTCAGAAGCAAGAGAGCAGATTGACACCTGGTTCTTAATCTGGACCTCCACCCTGCAAAGTGTTTGCACCTCATTATACAGACAAGGCTCAAAATTGAAACCATATAAATTAAATGACTTGAAACCATATAAATTAACTATTAAAAAATAAAGTCCTAAGCCTGCATAGCCTGAAGAAAAACCAAAGGGCACTACAGGGGCCGTCCCATTTGGGCAGGAACAGGTCAGGAACACAGAGTTCCAGGGAACAGAAGCAGGACCTGTGGCGCCTCTGAGGACACCAGCGGTGACTGAGGAAGAACTCTTCCAAAGTCAGAGATATTAACTCTAAATGGACTGTGGGGGGAGGTAGTGAGTTCCCCAGACCCAGAGGTATTCAAACGAAGGCTGAGAAACCTGGTCAAAGATACTGTCTGCACATTAAACGTTTCAACCTCCAAATTCTACAGCTTCCACTGTCAGAAAGTGTCCTCTGGTGAGGTCCCCACCTGCACATGCTCAAAATCTTATTACTTGTGCTTGGAGGTGGGACACCACCAAATATTTCTAATAGGGTGAGACACAACCAGAGCTCTGATCATTGATTGAGGGGATGTCGCTGTGCCCCCAGGTGGAAGGAATTCCCGTGTTAACCAGGTTCGACATTATATTCTCTCCTGCTGCTTTACATCCTGAGTCCAGGGGCCCCTCCCAGTGGAAGTGGCACCTCTTGGCTTTCTTGAGGAACCCTAAGCCTTAGGGCCTAGAACAAAGAAAGCCACTCCACTCTTAGTGGAGCCTCCTGCCTGTCCTCCCACTTCCCCACCAAGTCCTGACAGTAATGGCTACACTGGTGATGGGGAAGTGCAGCAGAGAGCCTTCCCTTTCTTTGCCTTGCACAAAATGGAGGTTGGAATACTGTGTGCTGAATTATCATCGAGTACCTCCATGGCCCCACTCCTCCAAGAGCTTAGTTTCAACAATTGTTTGTGGAATGAATAAATGATTTCAATTGAGCAAAGAGGATTTAGGCCATAGATGTGGGTTAATGCCGAAGATGGAGTTCCAGGCCACCGTCCGCCGTGTGACCCGGGCCAGTCACTTCACCGAGAGTCTCAGTTTCCTCCTCTGGGAAATGGAGACATCTGAAACAGTGGTTAAGAGCCAGCCAAAAAATGAATGTGAAAAGGCTTTGCAAACTCTTGTAAAGAGATAGGAAAGATGGGGACTAAAGTTTCTATGTGCCAGACACCTGGTTCTTAATCTGTACCTCCACCCTGCAAAGTGTTTGCACCTCATTAGACAGACAAGGCTCAAAGAGGTTAAGTAACTTTCCCAAGGTGTCACCACTAATAAGAGGAAGAGCTGGATCTGGACCCGGATCTCTGACTCTGAAACCCCACTTCTTTCCCTCAAACCCTGAGGCATCTGCACTTAAGGAAACAATTACTATAATTTCTATTTATCATGTTGTTTGTGTGTGGAAAATCCTCGTCTATTAGCAACGGTACCCCACCCTGCCCCCGCCCCAGCCTTGGAGGCTGTACTGGCCTCACCCTTGGGCTTTCCTACCCCCCCCACCACCGCCTCCCTTCCCGCCTGGGAGAAGGAAGGCCACCTGTCAGCCAGTCAGCCAGTGACCCAGGCCAGGGAGTAACCAACTCTGTCCTGGTTGTGTCTCCAGAAAACAGATTTTTTATTACTCACCACGGCGGGCTGTACATCTCGGACGTGCAAAAAGAGGACGCCCTGTCCACCTACCGCTGCATCACCAAGCACAAGTACAGCGGGGAGACGCGGCAGAGCAACGGGGCCCGCCTCTCCGTGACAGGTAAGCCACAGGACGGTGGAACAGAGCAGACCGGGAAGAAGGACACCAGCCCATCCCTGGAACCCCATACGTCCCTACCACAGATCTGGGAGTCCCCTGTGTACTGGGGCACTCAGAGAGCGAGATTAAAGAACACTAGTGCAGAGACCATCCAGCAAGACCTGGTCCAGTTGGGGCTTGTGTACTCTGAGTGTAAGGACTAGGGGACAAATTCTCTTTAGGAGTCTGCATCAGAGGACACTTAGCTGTCCTGAAGAGCTGACATATTTCTATTTACCTAATCACAAGGATTATGAACCCACCCTCCCTTTCCTCTTTTTGCCTTCCCTGCCAGGAAGCTCATGGATAAAATCTGATACTCAAACATAGTAACTATTAGTCTAGGTTCCGGGCATTTTTGCATTTCCTCATATCTCCAAGTGTTTTCTAAGAGTCTATTTCATCAAGGAGTGCACATGTGTCTTATTTGAGGCCACCTCCCAGCATTTGAAAGCAGGCAGAATTTAATTTATAAACAGCCTATTTTTTAAAGGATCCTAAGTCTGGAGTGATTGCAGCTTCTGAGGAAGGGATGGAAGCTGACACTGAGAGAATTCCCCAGGACACCAGGACGTCTCTCATTTGTTGTCTGTTAGGGACCCACAGCCCTATGAGATGTGTATGCTGTTCTCCCTATTTTTACGGATGAGAAAACCAAATCTAAAGAAAGACAACCAATTTGCCCCAGCTCTTTAACCAGGGAGAGCCACCACCAGAATTCATATTCTGTCCAGCTGCAAGTCCCCTTGGAAGGGGCCAGTTGGGTGCCCACATCTAGCAGAGTAAAGAAGGCATTTTGCGCCCTTCAGAGAAGGCTTTCTGGAACAGTGGTCTCCACACCTTCCTGAGAGCCAGCCACAGGCAGAAGGTTTTGTCATCACTGTGCGATGCAACCTGGCATTTTCTATCCAATTCTATCCTATTTTGCTTTTGCTTTTATTTTTATTTTTTTCGGTACTGAGAAATGAACCCAGGAGCGTTTAACCACTGAACCACATCCCCAGCCCTTTTTGTATTTTATTTAGAGACAGGGTCATGCTAAGTTGCTTAGGGGTCTCTCTAAGTTGCGGAGGCTGGCTTTGAACTCATGATCCTCCTGCCTCAGCCTCCCCAGCCGCTGGGATTACAGGCGTGCACCACTGTGCCCAGCCTATTTTGGTTTTTCTAAATGCCTGTTGCAACTCACTACATGGATTCCACAACCTCCCCAGTGGTTTGCAACCTATAATCTGAAAACTCCTCTCTTGAGTAGGTGAGATTGGAGTGGCTTTTGGAAAGAGGATGAACTAATAGTGAGCTTTTGGGCTTTAGATCCACAAGGTCATACATCCCCTCCAGGCCTCTGGAAAAGGAGCTAGACTAGGGGACCATTCTGATTCTGTCTGCCACTGGCATTCTGCAGTTTGGTGAGATCAACTGTGATCACAAAAGGCTCTCTGCAGGACTCTCTCCTTTGTCATTTGGAGACAAGACTAGGAAAGCAGGAACAGGGGGGCAATGGCCAGCCTTTCTGATCCACCCTGTGTCTTCAGTGCCTGGCCCTATGCCCAGCACATAGTAGGTGCCAAGGAAATATTTATGGCGTCAATCAATACCAACAGAACCCAGGCTGTTGTATGGAAAGGAGATGGGGCTGTGCTACACGGCACCTTCATTATGGCTTGATTTTTGAAACCGCAGCCCAATGAAACCGCAGCCCAATTCCTAACCGCTTGTATGGGAGTAGTTCACCTCCAATTTATTGGAACTTGTTTGTATGGTGTTTTGAATCTCATTTGCATGCTTCTCATACAATGTGAGAGAGAATTCCCCCTCCAGCAGGCCCGCTCTGACCTCCTCCACGATAATGGAGTCCCTTCCTTCTCTAGTCGGCTGGTTGGACCTCCAGCTTTGGGGGTAATAATCAAGAGTCCCTCAAAAAATAACATTTGTTAAGCTGAAGGATGTGCCCAGCCTTCTCCTCCTCCTCATGCACCACCAGCTGTGGGGAGGTGGGGGCAGGAGGAGGGAGAGAGACCACCAGACCCCTGGAGGACTCACACATAAATCCAGATCGGAGACGCAGAGTAGAGATAGGAAGGTGCCCTGGCAGCCCGAGGGGAGAGGATGACAGAGGACGGCACAACAGAAGGGAGACACACACAAAGACAAAGGAAGGTAGAGGAGACAGGAAGACGAGGAAGCTGAAGGGAAAGGACCGGAGGGGAAGGGAGGAGGGGACCCGCGCAGTGACGTGGGGCCCTGATGTGATGTGATGTGGTGTGACAAGGCCGCCTGTCTGCAAGCTGCTTGTCTCCGCAAGAATGCAACAGATACTGGAGCAAGGCAGTGTGGCGGGGAGCCACAGGGCGCTCCCACCCCTCAGATCCACTCCCCCAGGAGGAAAGGGTGGGAATGAGACTGATGGCCACTTGCTGGAGATGGTCAGGGCAGGAGCTGTCTGCTCTCAGCTGTCGGTGCTCACTCGTGTATGTTGGGGGACACGATGCGGTGTACTGTTAAAAGGGCATTTACGAATCAGAACAAAGTTTCCACCTCAGCCTCTCTGCTCAGTAGCTACATATTCAACCTAACATAAAATACATAAGGTCTCAGCCTCAGCTTCCTCATCTGTAAAATGGGAGTGGTGAAATGCACTGCACTGGGAGGTGGAGAGAAGGAAACAGGGAGCCGGTCGGAATGCCTAGCATGGAGCAGACTCATAGGAAGCACTCAGGAGCTCAGGTCCTCCTGCTGGTCCAGGTGGTCCTGTGCTGTGGCTGCCCCAAAGTGATGGGGGTGGTAGGGGAGCTGCCATTTTTCTGTATTTCCATGTTAGAGGATGCAGTTGTAATAATCTGAGCCTCTTCAAAACACACCCTGATAATGGCCGTTCCATCCACCTAGGCCCTTTTTAGTTTGCCACTGATTTCAGGTGCACTAACTCCGTGAGTCCCCAAGACAACCAGTGGGATGAGCATTACCATCCTAGAAGGAAATCGGGGACCAGAGAGACTGAGAGCCCAGGCTGAGCTCACACAGGACAGAGCCAGATGCAGAGGCTGGGTTCCCTGCTCCTCGGCCACGGCAGAAGGTCCCAGACCCAGCCCCACACCTGGGACCCCCGCCCCGCCCCGCCTCAGCACACCGTGATTTCTCCGGGCAGGGCCACGTCCTGCCTGCCCTGCACCGGTGCTGCCAGCGCCCTGTCCCCCCAGGCTGTCGCCGTGCACACGCCGCAGCGTTTTACTTCTGCTTCAGAGTAATGAAAGAGGTTTCTTTCCCTCAGAATTTAATTTCACGCCTGAGCCTCGGTGATTAATTCCCTCCCCCCGCCCCTTCCTCCACCGCCCTGGCGGCCCCTCCGCTTGTAAATTCTGCCGTGTGCCACGGAATTTGTGTATTTTGCATCAATTAAGTGTCACATTGAGTAATTCTTCCCTGGCACCGGGTTTGTTTATCCCAACCATTCCCACCGGGGTGGGGGTGGGGGAAGAGGCAGCAGAATCTGGCAGGGAGGGAGGGTGGGACGGAATAGTCATTGCCCTGCCCCTCTGCAGCTCCCCACACATTGCGCCATCGTTCCATGCAAAAGCCCCTGTGCGATCTGGAGGCCACGCCATCACCTCCACCATGCAGATGAGGACACTTAGCTCTGAGATTGAAGGCTCCCGTCCAAGGTCACAAGGCACATCAGCCACCCGGGCAGAACTCACACCGGGATCTCCTGACTCCCAGCCTGGGCTCCTGCCCACCAGGCACCCCATCTTGAGCACTGGAAGGCAGGAGAGCCTCCATTCTTCTGGAAAGCCTTTTGGCCCAGAGAGAATCCCAGCCCCACCCCTCTCCAGGGACAGGAGCTGAGGACAGAGGCCATTTCCCATTTGGGAAGGGAGACCAGGAGGGTCAGCAGTGCTCACCTAAGCAACCTTCAGAATGTGAAATTATTCTATGTTGGACCCCATGTACCAAGCAGGGGTGAGGGGAGACCTGGTTTCTGATCTTGGGTCTGCCATGATTCTGAGGCGGTTCCTCACCTTTCTGGTCTCAGAGACCTCATCTCTTTCTGCCCTCCAAGGTCCCAAGGCAGCTGTCTTATTCCTCCATCTATAAAATTCTACAAGGTGATATTTTATCCAGAAAAATCAGATTGCTGGCCCACTCCACTCCTGAGTGCCCCCAGTTCCCCTTCTTCCTCCCCCAGACATTGATGGTTCAACAGCCTGGGGCCCTGCTCCTTGCAGGCGGAGAAAGGACTGTGGGTCAACACTGCCTCGGGAGCCACAGTCTTCCTGGAAGAAGGATGTGGCCTGGGGCTGCTGTTGGAAAAGAGGCGACCACAGTGGCTGCCTCTGGGGGTAGGAGGAGCGTGGAGGCCAGGGTTGTGGAAGACTCCTGTTCACTGCCTGCTCCTCTGAAGCTTGCCATCTGCACATATTACCTATTCAAAAAAAAAAAAAAAAGGAAACATACTTTTTAACTTTTTCTTTTAAAAAGGACAGGGGCTGGGGAAGTGGGGATTGTTTGAAAATAAAATGAAAGAAAAAGCAAACTCTAGAGGAGCCCAGGGAGAGCAGCAGAGGTGGGGGGTATGCAGAAGAGGACATAGAAACTGGACCGTGAAAGAGGACTAGGAGTTGGCTGTGCAGGGAACAGCTGGGCATCCAGGTGACCTGGAATGCCACCGTGGGAACCCTAGGGATAGAAGGTAAAGAAGCGTGTAGCAAGCCAGGCAGCAGACTGAGCCAGATCAGAGTAGGCCTTGGGGTTCAGGACAAGAAGCTGGGGTACGTATAGGTAAAGGGGAGCCTAAGGAGGCTCCAAAGCAGGGAAGTCACTAGGGTGAGGCTGGACTGAGAGCAGAAGGGACACCCACGCAGAAGTAACAAGGGTCACACACACGGAGTCCCATCCGCAGAGGCCTAGCTCTTCTTCAGGCTCAGACCACGGGTCTCATGGGCGCTGATTCCTCTTGGTCTGGAATTGCAACACACAGGAGGCTTGTGGGGGTGGGGGTGGGGGTGGGGGTTCTGTAGGGGGATCCACTCCTGGAATCATCTGGGCTCCAACAGAAATGCCCTGGGCATAACTAAGTCTGCCCAGAGTGAAGGTAGGAAGAGGCAGAGCAAGGGCAGGAACGCTGTCTCCCCTTTCTTGAGGGGCACCCCCCCAAGCCCAGTTGGAGACCCAGGTATAGACTTACCAAGGGCTGAAAACTGGAGACAGCGGGAGCCTCACGGCCCCGGGACCACTGTTCCTGAGACTTTGGGTGAAAGGGCTCTCAGTCACACGCTCCTCTCTGCACCCCGTGCTCTGCCTGCTTCTGTTCCATCTGCCTCTCTGTCATCCTAGTCCTGAACTCCACCAGATTCTCTCCTCTCCCCCACGCCTGTTCCTAAGCCTGGTTCTCAGGGGCTCCGCCTGGCCAGAGCACGGGAGATACACATCCTCCCTGAAAGGCTTGTCTGGAGCCACACTGGGAACTGCTCGTGGTGGGCACCGGTGGACACAGCTCCCATCTGGGTACTTCCTCCCCCAGCCCCACTGCCCCCTACCCAGGCTGGCCAAGGCTGCTGACCCTCTCTGTCTTCCAGACCCTGCCGAGTCTATCCCCACCATCCTGGATGGCTTCCACTCCCAGGAAGTGTGGGCTGGCCGCACGGTGGAGCTGCCCTGCACCGCCTCTGGCTACCCCATCCCTGCCATTCGCTGGCTCAAGGACGGCCGGCCCCTCCCCGCCGATAGCCGCTGGACCAAACGCATTACAGGGCTGACCATCAGTGACCTGCGGACCGAGGACAGCGGTACCTATATATGTGAAGTCACCAACACCTTCGGTTCAGCAGAGGCCACAGGCCTCCTCACAGTCGTCGGTAAGTCGAAGAAACCCTCTCTGCAGACCCAGTGACCTTAAAGAGCACCATAGTATAACAGGGAGGGCTGCCAGCAGCACTGCATCTGCTCTGGCTGGACCCAGGGGACATTCCTGGCTGGCCGGGGAGGGCAGCTGGTGTCCTGGAAAACCAGTTGGTTTGAAGCCAGAAGACCTGCCTTTCGGCTCTGGCATTTTCAGATAGGGACAGGCTCTGGCAGATCACAGAACTGCGACCATCAGCTCAGTGTCGGTCTCTGTAAAATGGGATAATGATCCCAACCATCCTCCTACCCTAGGGGTCAAATGGAATGAAGTGACAAGCCTCCTCAAGGGCAGGGCTTCTTGGCTTGCTGGGAGGCGGCAGTGTCTGAACTAAGGGAAGCAATGCTGATGTTAATCCATTAGACAGGACATATGTCCCCATCCTAGGGTGACATTTAACAATAATTGATAGAGGCACTGATCCATCAGACAAGACACTGGGTATAAGCAACCAAGTCAGCCGCACCAGGAGCTGCCAGCTGGATATCAGTTCTAGTCCTTTCCTGTCCCCCCAGCACAGAGCCCCAGGGCTCCAGGACACCCTGTGGAGAGCAGGAGCCCCTCCTGCTAGGAGCCCCCAAGCAGGCAGAGAAGGAGGCAGAGGGGCTACTCCCAGGGAAAGAAACCTGATGACAAGTCTTGAGACCTGGGCTCATCCCTGGGCTCTGCCCTTCCTGGTGTGACCTGGTCTCAGGTTCCCACCTATCAGATGAGGAAGCTCCCTCCAGCCCTGGCATCCAGAGTTCCCTCCCCTCCAGGCTGCCCTGAGGACTCGCAGGGAATCCCACTTTTCAAGGGGCAGCAATAACTAGCCTGAGTCCCTGAATGTCGAATCCAAGGACATCACGAAGGTCGTTCAACCTGAACAGAAGGAGCAGGCCGTCCAGAGATGGCCCCATCCCCATCCTTTGGGAGGTTCACTCTGCCATGAAGGTTGGCTGAGAACACTCTCCCTACCCCGCCGCCCATCTCATCAGCACGGACTGCAGGGCTTCAGACCCTCGGGGGGCCAGAGGACCACAGCAGACCTTCCCTGGCTTCCAAGCCTGGTGTCTAACTCCCCCAGCCCAGGCTTCTGTCTCATGGACCAGGGTCTTGAGGGTTGACCCGTGTGTATCTGCAGTGCTGAGAAGAGGCCCTGCCCCCACACATAACAGTGAAGCTGGAAGCACAGAAAGAGACCCCCAAAATGCTCTAGGAGAAGAACACATGATAATATGTTGTAAGCCCTGCTTTGGGGGCTGGGGAGTCATCTCATATAAGCCAGCCCTGGACAGCTAAGTGGGCAGATAGAAGGATCAGCGTTGGTAACCCCCTTCTGGCCCTAATCGGTGTCTAAATAAGTTTAATTAAACATTATCTTCAGTTCCTTCCCCATCCTCCTATTACACACACACACACACACACACACACACACACACGCACACACACAGTCTCAGGAATCAGGTCAGGAGGACATTTCCCCCAAATCCTTGGAAAACCAGCAAACCTGACTGTAGGAAAGAATGATATTCACAGCTCCTGCCCCAATACCTGCAGGCAAGCAGATACTCACCCAGACATAGGCATGAGTATCCAAAATTCACATGCCCGCTCCCCCATACATATGCATACATGTCTGTGGTACCCATCACTGCAACATGCTCATATCCAGTACATTCATACTGATGTGCAGCAAAGAACCACCTCCAGATGGGTGCACAGCTACTCTGCCATACGCATAGTATTTGATCATCTTCCTCAGCTCTCTGCCCTGCCTCCCAGTGGGTTTGCTGGACAACCAGGTTCCAGGGGAAGTAACATGTCTTTTCTCCATTCTCCAGTCTCTCTATAGCCCCTCTATGCCAGTTTCATGGAGAGAAAAGCAATGCTTCCCATACCCCACTATTCTGCCACCAAACCTGTGCAGGGACAGCTCCAAGAGAATTGGCTAGCAGAGAGAGCCCTGAGAGCTCCAATTGATGGCTGGGACAGGAAGAGGCACCTGCCTCACTGTGCACTGACATGTCCTGGCAGTGGCCGAGGCTCTGGGTAATGATAAGAGAGCCACGTGTGCAGTCAGGTCTGCTTTGGCCGCACCTGAGCCTCATGGCCTGCCATCTCTTCTCATCAGCAGGCTATCTCGCAGGGTCCCCACGCTCCTGCAGCCTGATCCCCTTAAAGAACCCCAAGCCCATGGAGGTCAGACAGAGAGGTTTTCTTGCAACTGGAAACCAATCATCTGGTCAGACAATAAACATGGCTCTGATCTTGGTAGGGACAAAACTGAGAGAGATCACCCTGCTCCTAAGCAGCTCACGATTCAAAGGGCAAGAAACAAGGTGATGGAAAGACCTGGGAGGGGTGTCCAGGAGGGATTTCTGGAGGAGGGGAACCAGGAGCTCAGTGTGAAGAATGAGCAGGAATTAGGCAGAGCACCCTAGGTGGAAGGCCCTGGGGACAGAAGCAGTGCAGGAGAGGCAGGGACCACAGGCAGTTGTTGAGGCTGTAGAGAGTATCTGGCCTTGGTGGCAACAGGAGAGGGTAGGGAAGGTGACAGTTTCCCCAGGTCCCTAAGGGACTGGAATGCTATGCTGAGTTTTGGGGCCTGATCCCCCCCATTTAGCAGATGAATCAGCCAAGACCTGGTGGAGCGAACTCCTGGCCCTGTCCACACCAGGCCTTGCCACAGCAGGGGCCCCTGACCTCCACCCACTGTAAGCCCCCTTTCTTTTCTTTCTCTCCCCCCACTTTCCCCTCATGTCTCCCCCACCTGGCCTGGCCCAGAACCCCTTCATGTGACCCTGACACCAAAGAAGCTGAAGACCGGCATCGGCAGCACGGTCATCCTCTCCTGTGCCCTGACGGGGTCCCCGGAGTTCACCATCCGCTGGTACCGCAACACCGAGCTGGTGCTGCCCGACGAGGCCATCTCCATCCGCGGGCTCAATAACGAGACTCTGCTCATCACCTCGGCCCAGAAGAGCCATTCCGGGGCCTATCAGTGCTTCGCCACGCGCAAGGCCCAGACCGCACAGGACTTCGCCATCATCGTGCTGGAGGGTGAGCTGGGTGCCAGGCAGAGGGACAGGGCAGGGCAGGCAGGGCGAGGCGGGGCTGCCAGGTCCCCCTCCCCCTCCCAAGATGGTTGTGTTGCTAGGAGGCGTTGGTCTGGTGCCCACTACGCTCCAGGCAGGTCCCCGTCTTCTTCAGCCTCCCACGGGCCTATTTTGCAGTTGAGGAAACTGAGGCTTCCTTCACCTGCCCACTCTCTGGGTCAGAGCTGGAATTTGAATCCAAAGCTCTACCACCCTACTAGATAGCCTTTGCCCTCCAAAATTACTAGAAATGTTCTACCTGAGGGGTCTTCTTTAGAGCGTTGAAGGTTTTCAATCTTGCAGAGGCCAGAAGAGTGCCAGGAACCTCTGGACTTCTGAATCTTCTCCCAATCTGAAATCTCTTCACATGGGTCTCTGTTTCCACCTGTTTCTCTCTCTCTTTAAAGCTGCCACCCAGGGGGTCCTCACCCAGCACCTCAGTGTATGATTATTTTAGGTTTTTTACTGCCCCAGTTGCCTGGCCAAGAAAGTGGGTGAAAACTAAAATCCAGCTTGCACTCCCTTTGCCAAGTCACAGGCCCTGGCGGTGGGCTGTGACCACACAGAGGAGGCGCCTTTGGATCATCTGACAAAGGTGCCATGTGGGCTGGCAGAAGCCCTGTCTTACCAACAAGTTGAATGGCTCCCCAGATGCTCTTTCATGATAACCCAAAACAAAAAAATAAACCAAAACACCCAACAGTTCTGTCCCTTTCAAGGATTTTTCAGTGCTGTGACAGAGATACCAAACTCCAGCAAGTCCAGAGGAACGGGCTCCTGCACAGGTCTCACTGCCGTGGCTTACGGACCCTCACTCCTCAGACACAGGAGCTGAGCACCCACTGTTTCTAAGTCCTGGCCTCTCGCCCTCCCTTGCCCCTTGCTCTTCTTGTCTGCCCGTTCCCTGGTCTCTCTCCCCCAACACGCCCAGCACAGGTTAGTTGGGAATGGGGGCCTTTCATCTCAGGAGACCTCCTATCCAAATAATCCCCCATCAGGGAGCAAACCACCCTATCCAGCTCATTTTCCCTTGGAGGGGGCCACCTGTTTGCCTTGGGTGGAGGGACAGAGATCCTAGCAGAAGCCATTGGTGGCCTGTTGAGAGGAGGCAAATGGGAAAAAGAGGCTGTCAGAAGGGCTGAGTGGAGAAGGTGAGGAACGGGCAGGAGGGGTGGGGTGGGGAGGCAGAAGAAGGGCCAACATCCAGGGGGCTCCCTGGGCACTCCCAGGCTCTTCCAGGCACCAGACTATCCCCAGGTTTTAGGTAAGGGTCTCCCCCAGAAAAAAGGATGGGGGCTGGCAGACTGGCTGAGTCTTGATCAACATCAGCATTTTGTTTAAACGGGATGTAAAGAATGCTGTGTTACATTCGCCTTACTTTTTTTCTTTTTTCACTTTTTAAAGTACTTGACGCCTATTTTTTATTACATTTTTTTTTATTTTTAGTTGACACATAATAACTGTACATATTGATGGGGCACGGTACACTTTAACACCTTTTAATCCTTTACGACAACCTTGTATGGAAAGATGGCTGTGGTTAGTAATGACATCTCCCGAGTTCTGCAGGAGGAAGTTGGGGCCGTGGGAGTTAATTGTCTCATCTAAGCTTACTTGGTTAGCCACAGACTCCCCACTTCCACAGACTCCCCACTTCCACCGCCTCTGGGAAACTTGCATTCTAAGCCTCCAACTTAAGGCCCTTTGCTAAAGGGGCTACCGCGGCCCCACCCCCTCCACTGGCACAGTCAAGTGCAGAGAGCCCTGGATCAGAGTCCACGGGACTGGCCTGCTCCACACATAGCTCTACATGCAATTGCCTCCCAGCCTCAGCATCTTTATTAATAAAGGAATGAGAAAGAGGCAGATGAGGAAAAGTCGAGAGGCGTTAACAGTTAAGCACCTTTAATGCATTAATTCGTTTACTCCTCCCAGTGTTAAATGAGGTGCGGATAATCATTGTCATTGTTACCTCCATCTCACACCAGTAAAAAGTGGAAAGACTCAAAGAGGTTAAGTACTAAGTCCAAAGATTCAGCACCAGCAAGTGGTGGAGAGCAAACCCAGGAGTCTTAACCCACGAACAGTAGTAATGGCACCTCCCAGGGCTGTGCGTAGCAAGTGAATTGATGCACAGGACAGTCCTTTATTGTCATTATGGCTACTGCTTTGCCTCCTCCCCTGCCAGGGTGGGGTAGCCTGGGGGAAGTCTCTCTGTGACTAAGTGACCCTGAAGGGGGCTCCTCGCTCCCTGCAGACGGCACACCCCGCATCGCCTCGTCCTTCAGCGAGAAGGTGGTCAACCCCGGGGAGCGGTTCTCACTGATGTGTGCAGCTAAGGGCGCCCCGCCCCCCACGGTCACCTGGGCCCTGGACGACGAGCCCATCGTGCGGGATGGAAGCCACCGCACCAACCAGTACACCATGTCCGATGGCACCACCATCAGCCACATGAACGTCACAGGCCCCCAGATCCGCGACGGGGGCGTGTACCGGTGCACGGCTCGGAACTCGGTGGGCAGTGCTGAATATCAGGCGCGAATAAACGTAAGAGGTGCCTGTCTACATTTAAATATCAGAATAGGCTTTTGAGTTCCTTTGCCATCTCTGTGATTACCATTATTCTTGTGATTAGTACTTATTATTAATCGTCATTTTGATTTTAGTAGAGGTTTCTCTCCTCTCTCCTGTCGCCATCGCCCTGCCCTCACAAGCCCACCATCCATTCTTGTGTGTGAGTGTGTGTCTGGTATAGTTCACCCATTCTCATTCCCTCCTCCTCCTCCTCCTCCTCCTCCTCCTCCTCCTCCTCTTCCTCCTCCTGCCCAGCCTGCCCACCCTCCCCACCCTGATCCCCCCATCAAATCACTCTGGGCCCCAGTAAGCTATGCACCAGCTACCATCTGCCAGCCCCACCAGGGCCTTGTAAGGACAGAGACAGAGCAGGGGCAGGGGGGCCAGGCCTGACCTAAATATGCTTCAGCTGTGCTCCCAACTGCCCCCACTAAGCCAGTCCCTGAGAGCTCCAGGAGGGGCAAGCAGCCAGGAGCCAGGTGTCAGCTTCTCCTGCAAAGTCCAAGTCATCAAGAGAAGGAGGCAAACTGGGCATGTTGTCACACATCCATAATCCTGGCTACTTGAGAGGCAGGGATTACAGGAGGATAGCAAAATACAAGGTCAACCTGGACAATTGAGCAAAACCCCATCTCAAAATAAAATGTGCTGGGGGTGTAGCTCAGTGGGAGAGTGCTGGCCTAGCATGTGGGAGTTCAGTCCCCAGTATCATACATATTTATACACCCACATATACAAAGTAGAGGGCTGAGGCTGGGTGGGTGTGTCCAGAGGCTGGAGGCCTCCCCACGAGTGCTGGTAGGGGTCTTCAAGGTGATCATCCCCTATCTCAGTTCTCCAAGTCACTATGGTGAGAACAGTCTCTGATGCTCTTTGCAGCCCTTTGGGTCTAACTGGTCCTTATCTGTCCCTATCAGTGACCCCCAACCCAAGTACTGAGGAGGACGGGGGAGGAGAAGGGAAAAGGCACTGATCCAGGGGTGCTAGTGGTTACCCTGGGAGCAGGGAAGGGTCACGGAAATACAGGCTCATGCCAAACTTGCCAGGGCCAACTTCCTCCTGAGAAATGTAAGCCTCCCCTTTGGTCACCCTGCTGCCCTCCTCTATGAATTGGAAAGGGGACAGAGCTGCAGGGCCCTGGGAGATTCCCTAGTCCTGCTGCTCGTATTCTAGATGGGGACTTGAAGCCCAGAGAGTTCCTTGGCTCTCTCTAGCCCTGCCCCTGCATGAGGGCCTTTGAGCCCCCTTTCCATGGCCATATTGCCACCTGCCCAGCTGTCCCAACTAAAGACACTCTCTCCCCCAGCCGGTGTGACAGAGCCCCCATTTATCACCCTTCCTCAGGGGCCCATAATACACATTTACCTGATAAAAGAAAATCACTAGTTCACCCAGTGGAGACCGTCCTATTACCTACAGAGAGTTGGCATGAGAGAGCTCCTTTTGGGTAAGACAAGACCAGTGTGAAGAAGTGGAGTGGAAATAACACGATGCCCACGTCCACTCTAAACCCCCAATCCTGACTTCTCATGACTGAAGACTTGCCCTCCCAAATCCCGGCTGCTTCTTGGTGAGGCCGTGGTCTCGGCCACACGCCCTGTCCTGTTTGGGACTTTTCTTGCAGCCATGTATGGCACACGTTTGTTTGCAGCTATTTGACACTAGCAACAGTGCGTCCTGGAGAGATAATGGGTGACCCCAATCCAAGCCTTTGCCTTTAGTCTTGAAAAAGAGTTCCCTCTGCTCCCACCAAATTTCCACCCCCAGAAGTCTCAGGAGCCAAGCAACTGAGAAGAGTACCACAGGGTGGTGCCTGGCTGTCCCTGGCTGACGGCACCGCTCGTCCCTCCTCTCCGCCTCCTCCCTCCCACGCCTCAGGACCCCCCAGCATCCGGGCAATGAAGAACATCACAGCAGTCGCCGGGCGGGATACCCTCATCAACTGCAGGGTCATCGGTTACCCCTACTACTCCATCAAGTGGTACAAAGATGCCCTGCTGCTACCGGACAACCACCGCCAGGTGGTATTTGAGAACGGGACCCTCAAGCTGACTGACGTGCAGAAGGGAATGGACGAAGGGGAGTACCTGTGCAGTGTCCTCATCCAGCCCCAGCTGTCCATCAGCCAGAGTGTCCACGTGGCCGTCAAAGGTAGGCCTCCCCTCCAGCCAGAGCCCCTGCCCACCCTCACCCCAAGCCTCCCAGGATGCCCCAGCCATTTCCAAGCCATGGCTCAGGTGGCCGCAGACAATCGTGAATGAGTAGAAGGACAAGGGAGAGGGACCAGCCTGGCGTGTAAGAAGGAGGTGGAAGATCCAGGTGGACACTAGAAGGATGTGAGGAACTCTACCTCCAGGTTCCTCAGTTGGCTGCACTGACCCCAGGGGCACGGGGGCTGTTACAAAGAGGAGGCAGGTCACCACCAACAGAAGGCTCAGGTCACAGATGGCAGGCTATATCAGTCCCCTGAAGTCAGGATGGGGCCACCAGGAACTCAGGAGAGACACACCAGTGGTCAGCAACAGGAGACCAGGTGGAAGGAGCACTGGCTGCCCAGCTCCCTTCCAGGGCACAGAGTGGTTGTCCCAGGCTGCCACTAGGGGAATGGGGAAGGACCTGCTATCTGCTAGTGCCACCTGATGCCTGGAAGGGAGTAGCCACACACACACACACACACACCAGGCCTCTGTGCTCACCTGGGTGAGGCCTATGTTTCTGGTACATGGTGGCCACTCAGTAAGTCTATATAGATCAGTGAATGAATGAATTAATGACTATAAATGAGCCAGTAAGTGAATACATGTACCAATGCCTGTGTCCCCATGGCTCTGGGGCCATGCAGCTGTGTGAAGCCCCTTCTTTGGGATTGATGGGCCTGGAGTTTGTCTGGACAGTGTGTGAAAGGAGCCTTCATTGTTGCTCTAGGGACAGGAAGGGAAAGTGGATCCTGCTGGGCTTGACTAAGGAGAGGTCAGGGAATGACCCAGGGCTGATGGGAGGTCAGGCCCAGAGGAACTTTGTCCCCTTCTCCACCTCAGTAATAAAGAAATAGATTCCAGAACCACTGAGGAGGGAGAAGGAAGAGAGAAGAGTCCTCGAGACCTTTGAGAGCCCTGGTCACCTGGGGACTTCCCTCCTCTGGCATTTCTGCCACCCCAGGAAAGCAGAGGGTAGAAGCTGGAAAGACCCAAGACCTGCAGGGGCCAACACAGGGAAGGTCAGAGCTGGGGTCTTGTTTGCTCCAAGGGAAGCAAGATTGCACAGAGGCCTTGTGGACAGGAAGAAGGAAGTCTGGGGCCGGGGTCTGGGGACAGATGCTGCACTTGGTTTGATCCTTCAAGCATGTGATGACCAGGGGCCATCAGGTGGAGGGCCTGCAGGACAGCTGGGGAAACTGAGCAGGAGCAGAAAAAAGGCTGGGTCAGCTTCTCCCTGTGCTCCTTGTCATCGGGCTCATCCTGATCAGTGCTCAGGGGCCGTCACAAGCATCCTCATGTACCCACCACCTGTCACGGTGCCAGACGGTGTGTGTTTGTTGAACTGTAACTGAGACATTCGTCTGGGTTGGAGTGAATTATGGGAAGCCGTGCTTTAAGCCCCCAGAGCTGGGGTTGGTCTGTGGTCATCTCAGGCCTGGGGAGGGGAGAGGACACCCTGACAACTCCACCTCCCCACCCCCACCGTGGCACCGCAGGCAGGTTGAGGCACGCGGGGGACCCCTTCTCTGCCTAACACTTCGGCCCAGCCCAGGGTCCTTGCATGCCAGTGAGAACCTCACCACCCCCAGGCCGCATCCTTCCCCTGGCATCCTGGGAAACTCAGCCTGGTAGTAGTGGGGCACAGCGCAGCGGCCCCCACCCGGCGCCCTGCTGCCCATATCCATTTCTGTTACAGGCGGTGGAGCGCGAGCGGACAGTGTAAACAGCACATATTAAAACATCTAACCTTTGCTGCACTTCTGCGCCCAACCGCACCAGCAAGCATTTGGCAGGGTTTGCTGGCATAAAAAAAAAAATAATAATAACAGGGCCCCAGCGAGCCTCTGAGTACTCAGAACATCCTGAAAGCTGCTTCTGCTCATCAATTATTCAAGCCCATTCAGGGAACGATCAGTCCTAATGAATTGAATCTGATGCATTCCGTCTCAGTGACTCGCTGGGCCTGTTGTGATAGTGCAGAGCGACAGCGTCTCCCCAGCCCAGGGAGGAGGCGAGTGTGTGTGTGTGTGTGTGTGTGTGTGTGTGTGTGTGTACAATGTGCAGGCTTATGCACACACCCTCCCTTTTCCCCACCATCAGGTTCTGAAATGCAGCCTTAGAGGGGGTGAGGTCACCTGTTCTCTCTCTAGACCAAGAAGCCTCATTCACATGAGGGGCTCTGGGACCCCTTTCCCCCACCACTCCAAAAGCTCAGGGCCCCCATCCCCACCCTCTTGCTGACTCCCTCTCCCCACCTCATTAGAATGCACTTTTGCAGAAGAACCCATCAAAGCTGATTATGATCACGATGCTTGATTAGCGGCTGTGCTCTTCCAAGAGCTACCAAAGGTGGGGGGTGGAGAAGGCGCCCCTGGGCATGGCAAGGGGCCCTGACTATAGGGAGGAAGGGATGGGCCCATGGGTAACACACCAAACCCCACTGTTACTGCCGGCAGGAAAGCGTACAGCGCCCCGGGATCAGAGCAGGGAGCCAGAGGAGGGCAAAACAGGGCGGGACAGGGCACTAAAAGCTTGAGATAAAATTGAAGTCCCCTCCACCTCAGCTCCCCTTCTCTGTGGGGCCAAAGGCTGGAAGGCAGGGTGGACAAAAACCCAGGCTACCCTGTGAGCTGAGAAAACAAGTGCTGTCTCCGTCCCCCAGGACTGCTCATCTTCTAATGAATTTTTCAAACAATGAGCTGAGAAGAGTCAAACACACTGACACGCAAGCACATGCATGTGCAGAGACCAGTGTGTGAGTGCCCAGGCATGTACACACGGGAACACATTATGTGCACTTTCATGCTTCTGAGTGACACGCGAGCCTGCCCGCACTTGAACGTACAATACATGCGTGCTAGCAGTTACATAAATGTTTCTCTGTTGATGCCCTCCTGTCCCCAGCCACTCCCTATGCCACAAAAGGTGGCTTCAGGTAGGTCCATTTGAAATATTGCCCAAATGAGCCTGCTGGGGCCCAATAAGGTGGAGGAGCAGGGGAGAGATAGGGGCTGCTTCAAGGACAGCCTGGGCTTGGCACCCGCCACACTGAGCCGCAGGGGAAGCAGGCCTCATCTCTGGGCTTTGGGAGAGCTCCTTAGCAGGATGCTAAAAAGAGGACACACAGATCTAACCTAGACTTGGTGACTTCAGGGCCCCCTGTAGCTGAAAAATAATGTGGCATAAAAGCATCCCTGGACACAGGCTGAATGTTTAATTAACCAGGAAGGTAGGGCTGCATCTGGGGCCCCTTGGCATTGGCTCAGGGAGGAAATATCTCCATCCCTACATCTGAGCCTTCCAGGGCTTTGGGAGCCAAAAGGAGGGCATGAGGCGCTTTCTGCTTATGCTCAGCAGAACCAGGTCTGGGAGGTAGTGCCAGGCCCCCATGGAGAGCAAGCAAAAGAAGGCACACACGCCACAGACTCCCTCAGCCCACATACCACACCCCTATCCACAGCCATTCTTCCCCTACCTAGGCAATGAAGAGCTTCGGCTAAGGCTTCATCCAGTCCCTTCCACATGTCTGGGAGCCTTTGGTAGGGACCCTCCTCCACCCTAACGAATGAGGTGGGGATTCTGTGATCCCAGGGCATTAAGGACCAGCCACCTGGCTGAATGCCTGCCTGCTGTTGGTGGAGGTGGAGGCTTGGAAGGAATCCTACTAGAAAACACAGGCAAGGCGGGTGAGACAGGCTCCACAGGAGGAGATGGCAAACTTGCACCTGGGGGCAAAGGGGAGTCAAGGAAGCTGCTGCCGGCAACCCTGTTTCCCCAGCCAAGGGAGCCAGGAACATAGGAGCAAGCAGCCTCCTCACGGGGCAGACGGGGCTAGCAAAGATGGTGGTGGTGATGAAGACGATGACCACTCCCATTCACTCTATTCCAGGCACTATTTTAGTTTCTACTGATACAGTTATTCTGAAGATAGTTGAAGCTCCCTGTCCTCAGGGAGCTTGCAGTTTAGTGGAGAAAGGGATAGTGAATCAAATACATAAAAGATATGGGGTGTCAACCAGGGATCAGGGATGAGAGTGCCCAGGGAAGGCAGAGGGACTTACGATGTTAAAGGGGATAGTCAGGGAAGGTCTTCCTGAGAGGAGGAGGTTGTGGTAAAAACTGAAGTAAGTTATGATCATTCTTAAAATATAAGATTTGTCAGAACTGGAAGGTCAGTGTCAGACTTCAGAGATTGTGTGGTCCATTTTGCAGATGAGTAAACTGAGACTCAGAGGCAGAGGCAGGGTAGTGGTGAGAAGGCCACTCATACATGGTAACTTGAATGGGTAGCTGAGTCTGGAACCCAGGAACCCTGGCCCCCAGGCGTGGCTCTTTCCCATTTCCTTGCTGCCTGGAGATCGAGGCCCTGACTTCCTGCCGTGCACACTCTGCTAGCAGGTGCAGTAAATAAAAGGCTCAGCCTCGAAGACAGATGATGAGAGACCCTATAAAGTATTTATGGGCTGGGCTGGTGGTCACCACTGTGTGACACAAACAAGTGGCTATAAAGGCTTTATGGTAGCCAGACACCACATGGACTGCCACCGCCACTGTATCTTCTCGCTCGCTGTGCCCACTGATCTCTGTCATTGCAGCATTTTGCTACAGGTGACTGGCCAGTGCAGGCCTCCCTGGGAGAAATCCTGGGTTGTGTGGCAAACCTGCATCCCGGGCAGGTGCTGGCGAAACGCCGTGACTCAGGCAAGAGGACTGGGGGCTGCACTCAGTGTCACAGAGGCCCCTAGTCATGCCCAGGGGGAGGTGGTCAGAGACCTCACCCCCTGAAGGACCAAGTTCCCAGAGGTGGAAATGGAGCTCCTATCTGTCCCCTGAGCAATGGGGAAGGCACAGCTGAGACACAGGTCAGAAAGCAGCCCTGCATCTGGGCAGGGCCCATGTGCACACAGTGGAGAGCCTCCACACCCTGCCCACCGCACTCCTCCTCAGTTCAGCCAGCTGTGCAGGAGCAGCCAGGAACGCCAGGCTTTCTTGTCCCTCCAGGCCATGGCATGTTCCTGGACTTAAGGGGGGTCAGAATGCTATCCTGGAGCCTTGGTGGGATATGTCAGCCACAGTATCACAGACACCCATCAGCCTGCATGGGCAGGCTCTCACATAACAGTGAGTGAGGGGCCTGCCCTGGACTTCTGGTCATCTGCCTCCCATGGGACATTGGTGCTCTAGGAGCCCTGGGCCAGCTGGCTGCATGTCTCAGTCCTCAGCATGGGTGCTGGCTACTGTTCCTCTGTAGCCTCACCAGTGGCCACCACATCATTCCTGCAACTGAACCTCCATTGGCCCAGCTGGCCTCTGCCCCTTGGCTCAGCCTCCTCCCTCTCCCTCACCCCTCCTATTTTTTACAATCATGTATGTCCCCTAACTCTCAGTTCAAATGCCACATGCTCCAGGAGGCTATAGTCTGCCCCTGGACATCTCTCTGCTCTGACTGGCTATCTGTGTATCCTGGGGGTGCGCGCCCTGAGATCACAGCATGTCTGGGGGTGGGGAGTGCCCTCCCTTCTCCAGTCACTGAGCAGCTCCTGAGGCTTTTTCTGTAGTTCGAAGGTGTTTCTGCTTCCTCAGCCCACACGGAGCACGCTGCCTTCACAGAGCAGGCATTTCATAAATATTAGATGAATTAGTTAATTAATGAATTAACCTGCCTTAGTAACTTGTTCCATTATCTACTGAGAGAGACAGTCTTCCCCTTGCCTGAACCAAATCTCCCTGCCTGATTTCACTCTGTTGTGATCCTGTCCTTGATAGAAATGTCGGGCCCTGGTCATCGGGCCCAGGGGCATGGCCCTCCCGACTTGAGAGCTCTTGGGCCTCCTCCCCAGCCACCTTGCCGTGCCCGCATGTCCTACTCCCCGCCCCTGCCACTGCTGACAAGGGTCCATGGGCTTTTCAACCTCAGGAGCTGGTTTGTCACTGTGATAGCCAGGGCCTGGGCCTAGGAAGGACCAAGGGACATATTCCAGGTTCCAGAATGCCAATTCAAAGGCAGGGCCTGAAGATGAACCCCCATCCCCTCCTCCCCCACCACCCCAGCCCACCACTGAAGTGACCTCAGGAAATATCTAGACACGTCCACTCATTTACTCACCCAACAAGCACAAATTGAGTACCTACTATTTTCCAGGTAAATATTCCTAGGTGCTTGAGTCCTAGCACCCAGAGCCCCAGGGAGGTGGAGGTAGTCGCGCCCTCTGCCCTGTGACCCGTGCTGTAGTCACAGTGAGCACTGGATGTACAGCATTCTGCCAAAAGCCCGAGGAGACCTTAGAAGCCTAGATATGACCTCCATACACCTCCATGCTCACGCACAGGAAGGAGATCCACGATAGCACAGAGGAATCTCTGGAAGTCTGTAACGGTCACTGGGTCATCACTAGAATCCTGAGTTCAAAGAAATCTACCTAGAGCTGTCCCTGGCCCAGAAACCTCCCAGAGTACTGGGGCAATGCCCTACACCTGAGAAAAGAAGCCTCTGGTGACAGGGATGAGCTGATCTGGACGGTGACCAGCACCCCAGGAAACCTGGCAGGGGTTCAGGACCTGCTCTGAGCTCAGGTGTATCTGGAATAAAATGGATCAAAGCCAGGCAGGGGGCGGGAAGCACACAGGGTGGGAGACGGGGACAGAAGCCCCTGGGCTCCCCGGGCAGGGCTGAGCTCCGGAGCTGTGGGAGGCTGTGGTGTGCTGCTGGAGCCCCCAGGCTGGAAGGGCGAGGTGGGAGAGGGCATCAGAAATCCCAGGGAGGCCCCTGCGGGGGGTCATGGAGGCAGCCTCCCTACTAAATGGCACTTCCTCCAGACCTGGAGCTCTTGGTCGGGACCTCTCCATGCTCCAGTGAGCTGCCAAGAGACTTTCTATGTCCACACCTGGCCATTTTCCAGGGGCAGCTCCCCCTGGAGCCCTGAAAGTGTGCACAAGGAGGGCCTCCTCGGCGCCCACCCATTCAGGCTCGTCCCCCCATGGTGGCCACTCTGGGTGGGCCCAGGGTGGAGAGTAGCAGGCTTCCAAGGAGCCGTGGGGCTGGAGCCTGGGAGAAGGCCAGAGGACTGTGGACTGCCTTGTAATTTAATTATTTGACTGCAGAAAGGAGACCTCATCTACTGGGTGCTCATCCTTGTTAAGCTAATTGTCTGTCTCCCTCACTCTCTTCTCCCCCCACTTGCTGGGGAAGCCGCTGCAGCCTAATTGAGTTATCATAAAGATAATGGCTGATGCTCCAGCCAGAGCTGAGAAAGGAGGATCCATCTCGCAGTGACTCCAGCTCTAGACAGGGCCCCCAGGGGCTGAGACCAGGCAGTGACGGAGGGAGGCTGCTGTGTGGGCCTTTACCCAGAGTCCAACCCAGTGGCTGTCGCAAGGTCAACAGGGCTCTCTCCCAATGCTTTCCCAGCCACCAGCCACCAGGAAGCTCCTTTAGGAGACAAAAGGATCTCCGGTGTGGTGTGTCTGGGAATTTCTCAGAGAAGCAGCCAAGCAGCATAGCGGAGAGAGGTTAGAATTAGCAGGCAGATAGGGTTTCAAATCCCACTGTCACTGCTGGAGAGCAGGGTAACCTAGCACAGTTACTTCTCTGCTCCAAGCCTCCATGTTCTCATCTGTAAAACGGGATCAAGTAAGCTCACCTCACATTATTGGTAGGAGCATTTGGTGAGATAATGTGTATGAAACAACTGAACCACCAGTGGCATGAGCTTCTGCTCACCTGTCCTGACACCTGATGACTGTGGAGCAGGGTTGGTGATGGGACCTCTGGGAGGAGGCTGGAATTTAGCACCCTGGCTCTAAATGAGCAGCCTTGGGAGGTGCATGGGGAAGGGTCTGTGCTGGCCTTCCTCATGGCACCTGGGTACCTCGTAGCTCTCCCTTCCAGGCCCCAGAAGCTTGTCTGGGGAGAGAACATAGGCACAAGCCGAGCAGTGAGTGGGTCAGCAGGCAGATGGGAGTCAAAAAGCCCATGAGTTGGGGCTGGGGATGTGGCTCAAGTGGTAGCATGCTCGCCTAGGATGCATGAGGCACTGGGTTCGATTCTCAGCACCACATAAAAATAAAGATATTGTGTCCACCTAAAAATAAAAAATAAATATTAAAAAAAGACCCAAGAGTCAAATCCCAGGGCAAACCCGAAGGTCAGAGTTAATGCGAGAGGTCTGAGGCCTCAGCAGAGACTGTGGGTCCAGGCAGAGCTCAGGGTGGAGAAGGGATGTGGGAGGGGGACACAACGACAGAGCAGCCAGGCACACTGGGGGACTCTGCGTGGGCAGGAGAATGAGGTGCAGAGCCTGGGGAGCTCTAGTCCAAGCCCGGAGCCCCCCTGGTGAGCATCTGGCTGGGCTGGGGCAAGTGAGGCCTGATGGCAGCAACCCCTTGCCCGCCCAGTGCCCCCTCTGATCCAGCCCTTCGAGTTCCCACCGGCCTCCATCGGTCAGCTGCTCTACATCCCCTGTGTGGTGTCCTCGGGGGACATGCCCATCCGCATCACCTGGAGGAAGGACGGACAGGTGATCATCTCAGGCTCGGGCGTGACCATTGAGAGCAAGGAGTTCATGAGCTCCCTGCAGATCTCCAGTGTCTCCCTCAAGCACAACGGCAACTACACGTGCATCGCCAGCAACGCGGCAGCCACCGTGAGCAGGGAGCGCCAGCTCATCGTGCGTGGTGAGTGGGGTCAGGCCAGCCTGGAGCAGCGCCAGGACCATCTCTCTAGAGTGCTGGCTTGAATCACAGGCTTAAGGGAGGTTGGCTGTAGCAGGGCCATTGAAGATGGAGAGCCCCAGGCCTCTTATTTTATAGGGCAGGAAACGAGTGGAGGAGATACTTGCTCAGTTAGTCCTTGGTTGAGGCAGGATTGGAACTCAGAACTCCCAGCTCCAGTTCCAGTACTCAAAAAAGCCTTCAGCCTCCAGGGTTTCAAAAGCTGCAGGCTCCTAACTTTATGATGGTCCAGAAAGGGCTGACATTGAATGAAGGTGCCCAAGCCCTAAGGGACCTCTCAGGAGCCAAGATGACCTTTCTCTCCCTACTTCCTCTCTTTTGGCAGTGCCCCCTCGATTTGTGGTGCAGCCCAACAACCAGGATGGCATCTATGGCAAAGCTGGTGTGCTCAACTGCTCGGTGGACGGCTACCCACCACCCAAGGTCATGTGGAAGCATGCCAAGGGTGAGCCCCTGACCAGCCAGCATCTCCAACAAGGGCAGGGAGGGCCAGGGAGCATGCTCAGATGGGACTGGGGCCTGTTCTCCACCTGCAACTCAGTAGTGGTGGTGGAGTTGGGGGACCCTGGGTTCTGAGCTCTAGAGGACCCTAGCTATAAGCCATTTAGAAATCCTCAGCCACCCCTAGGGGTCTGCAGTCAGGGACAGCATCATGCTGACTTGACTCCACATTTCCTCTAGTCCCTACAGACTTGGCCCTTCTCCCAGCTCCAGCCCTAAAACTCAGGGTACATCTGCTAATCCCACCCTGCCCTGTCCACCCCAGGGTCCCAGAGTCTCCACACCTGGCTTTCCACCACTCTATCTATTCTGGGATTTGGGTCCTTCTTAGAGCTCAACTTCATCCCAAGAACACATTCAGTGTCTGAGTAAGGCCCACATCCTAGGCTGTGTCCATGCTGACCCAAAGCCCCCACAGAAGGACAGCTGGCCTTTTTTTCCCGGGTCTACTGCCATGAACCAGGAATTGCCATTTGAGGACTCAGTCCTGTCTTTGCTTATTGCCAAGTTGTCCAAAGGTTATTTTATCTTCCTCTCCCAGGAAGGCACCCCAAGGAAGCTCAGTGGCAAGGTGGCATCTGCTGAACCCATGTCCCCACCTCATCTGCTTGCTGCAGAGCTGGGGCAGGACCCGACCTCTCTGAGGGTCTTTCCTGTTGCCCCCCAGGAGCTGTGTGGCTCTAGCACTTGGGGATGGTGCAGCTTTGCTACAATGTGGCCCTAGATCAGCAAAAGAAAGGTGTCAGGTTCACTCTTTTTTATATATATTTTTATTTTTTAGTTGTAGTTGGACACAATACCTTTTTTTAATTTATTTTTATGTGGTGCTGGGGATCGGACCCAGGACCTTGCCCACACTAGGCAAGTGCTGTACTGCTGAGCCACAACCCAATCCCCAGCACTGCAAAAAAAAAAAAAGAAGAGAAAATCAGGTTCATTCTTAAGGCACCCTGTCCAACCCAGCTCACTTCCCAGCAAAGACTCAGCCCTCCTAACCTCTGCCTCCTTCCAGGGAGTGGGAACCCCCAGCAGTACCACCCAGTGCCCCTCACCGGCCGCATCCAGATCCTGCCCAACAGCTCCCTGCTGATCCGCCACGTCCTAGAAGAGGACATCGGTTACTACCTCTGCCAGGCCAGCAACGGCGTGGGCACCGACATCAGCAAGTCCATGTTCCTCACTGTCAAGAGTGAGTCCTGCCCCACACCCCTCCCCACACCCTGGTCTCAGGCCAAGGCCATCTCTGCACTCTCCCTGGCTGGTCCATCTATGAAGGGGAGACAGGAAAGATGCCTCCTCCAAGGTGGGCTTGGGACTGTCCAAGGGTCTAGTGACATGTGACATTACTAAGCACTAAGCCTGAATGGCCCCAACACACCCCACCCCCAGTTCTGATAAGCTCATGATTTTCTGTGCTGAAATACCATAAGCCATCCCATTTACTATGACCTGTAGGTTGGCAATTCTCTCTGAATACTTATGCCAAAGTATTTCTGTTACTTAATACCACCTCCATGCATACAACCCTTTGTGGCTTAGAAAGGAAAGTACCATGCAGACAACATAGAAGAAAAACCCTGGGCTCCAATTCCATATCTACTAAATGAGCTGTGTGACCTTGGGCAAGTCACTTCATCTCTCTGTGCTCCAGTTTTTTCTCTTGGCACTAGAGGTTCAATCCCAGCCTACTCGCCTCCCAAAATAATTATGAATAACACAGGAGCTTATGATGGAAAGGGGAAGATGCTTTGAAAAAGCCATTGGAGCAGTACAACTTACTTCCATTTGGTGCTGCTTCTATGGCTTCTAATCCCCGCACTCAGAGCTGGCCTCAAAGATGTTGGAAAGCCACCATTTATATGCTAGGATTCTGTTACAGTCACAGAGCCATTCCTACTGAGCCAGCCTGTCCCTTTACACATGGCGGAGTCTATGTAGCAGGTCTCTGAGGATCATGTCAGGAGCAGAGTGTCATCTGGGCCTGTGTCTGGGACTGTGCACCTTGGCAGGCAGAGGTCAGCACCTGAGCCGTAGCGTCTCACCCACCATGTATGGATCTGGGGGCTGTGACTTGGTCACTGTGTGACTTTGATGAGTACACTTGGTCTCATGGCAGCTCACCTTCCTGATCTACAAAATGGGGGTCATGATAAGGTGGGGTTCTGCCTTGTGTCGAGCAGGAGTCTAGTGACATGTGATAAGCAGCCGTATCGTGTGGCAGCTGCACCATAGACCAAACCAACAGTGGCCACTCTTCCTGGCCATCCTTCCAGGGCCTCTCGGGGAGGCGGCTGACCAAGTGCCCACTCGAGGTCCAGCCTGCCCTCCCCGGAGTTCCCCCTCCAACCACCGTGGCTTCCCCATCACTCCCAGCGCCCGCGCTCTGCTCCGCACACACAGGGAAGCCCGGCCGGCGATCGATGCTCAGGGAGCTCCGAGCTGAGCCGGAATCCCCGCCCTGGGGAGCCGCTTCCCTCACACTATCAAAAAGCACTTTGTCCTCAATAAAACCAGGCAATCAATCTACATCCCTCCGCCAGGGAGAGCTTGGCTGATTCTGAGAGCAGAGAAGAGCAGGCACCTCTGGAGCGTCCTGGGTATTTGATCCTTATCTCCCCACTGTCAGCAGGATGAGTCTCAACTCCTCGCAGCAGATTCTTCCTTTTTTTTCTGTCTTTGCTATTTTTCTTGAAGTTAGAGGCTTCACTGAGCAGGTGTGGCTGCTGTTCTGTGGCGTGTGGTTTTTCTGTAGAGATGAGGGGACTCTGGTGGCAGAGGATGCAGGGTCAGCGGGTGGGCTGTGTGTGAAGAGACCCAGTTGGTGTCAGGCTGTCCCTGAAGTCCTGGGGGGTCTGGACAAGCCTCTGCCATCCATCTTCCCAACCAGGCAGCAGCCAGGAGACGCTGAAGTATTTGGAGAGCACGAATGTTATAAATCCAGGGCCTCCTGGTGAGCCCCTCCCACCACACACACACACACACACACACACACACACACACACACACACACACACACACACGTGTCACCCTCTGCCCTGCGGGGAACGCAGGCGTTTCCTGCAGCACTAATCAGTCAAGGCAGAATCTGGTCCATTTCTTTCCCACCTTCCCCCCACCCCACTGCCCTCACTTCAGTTCTCTCTCCCCAGTAAGACCCAGGCGCTTCCCCTCCCACATCTGCTCTCTCACATGCAGGTCCGGGTCCCCTTTCCCTGCCTGTCAGGCCCACCTGCCCCTGTGATGGCGTCTCTCAGCACTTCCTCTCAGTCTCTCTGCACCAGGCTCCTGGCTCCCTCCCAGACCTTCCTGCACAGCTGCCTTCCAACTGTGCCCTTTCCCACACCCTCTCCCCAGCTCCTGTCCACACTGTCCTGGAAGACCCTGGGCAGCCTGAGCAATTCTACAGGGTACCTGGAGCCAGCCATTTGCAGAGCCAATTTGAAGGTTTGCCTCCAACACGCAGGGAAGATTTGGCCCCAAGCAGCTCCACCTCACCAGGCCTCATGCCTCTCTGAACTTTCAGAAGGTGGGAAGCTCAGTCAGCTGGCTCCCAGAGCCCACAGCACCCCACTTCTGTTCTCCCTGCCCATCTTCCCCTTCACTCTCTGCCATTTACACTAGGTTAGGTATAATCAGTGCGTTTTCAACTTCAGATGTTCTCCACTGGTAATGGGTTTATCAGGACGTAACCCCATGGTAAGTCAAGGAACATTTGTGCTTTTTACTCATTGGTAAGGTTTAAATGAGGGACTGGGGGCTTGATTCATGGTAGAGCACTTACCTAGCACGCGTGAGGCCCTGGGTTTGATCCCCCAGCATAACAACAACAAAATAAATAAATAAATAAATAAATAAATGAGACCATGTTCTTACAGCAATTAGTACTTAGCACAAAATACACATTGAATAATTGTTAGCAATCATTTGGTTTCAGTGCTGGAAACCTAACTTAAAGTAATTCAGGATTGTTGTTCTCAGGGAATTTAGTATTGTGGAGGGGAAATAGACATATACCCCAAAACAACTATAATACACAAATGATAAGTGCCTTTAAAACTACCAATGAGCAGACTCAAAAAGAATCAGGGCTGGGGTGTGGTCAGGACTAGAACACTTGCCACCATGCAAGAGTCCCTGGGTTTCCCCAGCAGCAGAAAAAGAATAATCAGGGATGGAATCATGAATTTTACCTTTGGGGTGAATAAAGGGTGTCAAGAAAAGCTTCACAGTAGGGCTCAAGGGACAAAAAGTATTCTGAGATGAGCCAATAAAGGTGAAGGTCATGCCAATCCAGGGAGGAACAAATAGCACAAGTGAGGTCATGGGGCAGGAAGAGCCATGAATGTCCTATGGTAACGTAAGGGGGTCAGGGGGTCTGGCAGAGAGTGAAGGGGAGGGTGGACAGGCAGAATGAAATGTGAGATGCTATGGCTTTGGGAGCTACATAGGGTCTTCTTGTGTTGAGCAAACTTTGAGACTAGGCTGCAAACCAGAGTTTTAGGAACCCAAAGGTCTGGTGGGGGTTGAGATGCCAAAGCTGGTTCTTAGAGAATTATCCCCATACAGAACCCTCCTCAGGGCCTAAATTAGTCAGGGTTCTCCAGAAGGACAGAACTAATAGGATGTAGGTAGATAAATAGGATGAAGGGAGTGAGGGAGGGATGGATGGATTAGATAGATGGATGGATAGATAGATAGATAGATAGACAGATAGATAGATAGATAGATAGATAGATAGGTAGGTAGACAGACAGATTAGAGGGTATTTATTAGAGGAATTGGTTTATATAATTATGGAAGTTGAGAAGTCCTACTAGTTGTCTGAGAACTGGAGACCCTGGGATGCTAGCAGCAGGACTCAGTTCGAGAGGAAAGGTCTCAGAACCAGTGTGGCCAATGGTATACTCAGTCCAAGGCCAAAGGCCAAAGAACCAGAAAACCCCTGGGACAAGTCCTGGAGTCTAAAGGCCAGAGAGCCGGAGGAGACCTAATGCCCAAGGACTGGCAAAGAGGAGCGTTCCACCCCCTGCAAAGAGAGGAAACTGCTTTCCTCTGCCTTTTTGTTCTCTCTGTGTTCTCTGCTGATTAGATGGTGCCCATAAAGAGGGCAGATCAGTCCACCAACTCACATGCCAATCTCCTCTGCAAACACCCTCACAGACTCTCAAAAATGATGCTCTACCAGTCCCTAGGTGTTCCTTAGTCTAGTCAGTTAACCCCTGAAATTACCATCCTAAGGCCCTAGGGGTTTGTTAGAGTGGGAAAGCAGTTTCACAAGTCCTTGGACATCCTTGCTGACAACCAACCAGGCCCAACTGGCCCCCACTCCAGCCTGACCCCAGAGTCTTGGTGTGGGCTGAGCTCATGAGTACTGAGCATGCTGCGGGTCCTCCCACCCTGTGCATAGCACTTGTCACTCTGCCTGTGAGGCTGGCCGGCAATAGCACCTTTTCAGGGAACTGAAGATACTGGATCAGGGTCACTGGGTAGAGTAGCCCCAGCTGAGACCAGAACTTATCTCCAGGATTGGGAAGAAAGAGCACAGGCTGAGAGTCCAAGGACTGGCCGCTGATCCTGGCTCTGTGACTCTGGCTGTGCATTCACAAGCTGTCCCTTCCCTTCTCTGGGCCTCGGTTTCCTCATCTGTACAATAAGAGACCTGAACTAGAATCCAGTCCCAGCTGACCCAAGGCCCCTTCCACCTCAGACAGGCTCTGATTCTTCAGCATGTGTATCTTTTCAGGGCACCTAGACCACCTCCCAGAACTTGGTTGAAAATAAATGTAATTAACAGAAGAAAATACCACATCCACAGAGTTGCCTTTTATCTCCCTTTTAAATATATATTTTAAAAGAGAGATAATGACCAAAAGGAGGAGGAGGCAATTCCTCCTCTAAGTGACACATGAGGAAAAAAATAAAGCATCTTCAAAGAGAATTCTTCAGTGAGAGGCAGGTACAAAGCCGAGCGGCTTCATCTGGGGTAGAAGGGGGCTGGCTGTTTTGATGCCACCACCTCGTGGCAGTGCCTCCTGGGACCTGCTAGCTCCCTTGTCCAGCAGGTTACCTTATTAGACAGGTCTCATTACTGTCCCCAGAGTCCCCTTCACCCTTGTGAAGGCTCCAGTGATTGGGCCACAGACAAAGCCCATGGCCAATTAAACCCATGAGGGCTCTTTGTTTGGTTTG